CGTTACTTTCCGGGTATGAGAAACAAGCCCTCCCCCACCAGAACCCTCGACATACCTCGCTCCTACACGACCGTCGAAGCCAAGTTCACTAATTGACGAGGGACCAGCAAATCGTGTCACTCGAGGGAATGGATTACGAAGTATGTAGATTCCGAACTTTGGAGACTCCCAATTGGTTCGTACATGTATTCCGTTGGCGCCGCTGTTCCTGTCCTGATGGAGGATAGAGTATCTATCTGCAGCCAAACACGCTACGAGGTACATGTAGTGCTGTCCTTGTCATCGGTGACAATGCGATTGCTATATTACACCGTGAGTTTTCAGTGGACACGTGACTTGATCCGTTTGGCACAGGCTTCAACGCCGTCGAAGCAGCACGCATTCGATTTTCCATGTGGCCGAACCCAACCTTCGGTCGACCCGTTCAGCCATCCACGTTATTCCTCAGCAAGGTTTGATGTCATGGCGTATCTAACAATGCTTTCGTCTCTCTCTCTCTCTCTCTCTCCTTCTGTCTTTGCTCGCGCCGACGTCTCCTGCCCTGATCGCAGGCGCAACTGCGCAAAGACCTGGTTGAGACCCTTCTCCTAACGTGAGTGCCGCCTCAACGTTGGCTTTTGCCCCCCCCCGCCTCCCCCTGGTGTTTGCCATCGGGGTTGGGTTTTCGTCGCTTGGCAACGACGTTGTGAAACAAGCCGCCCCCCCCAGTGTTTGCCATCGGGGTTGGGTTTTCGCCGCTTGGCAACGACGTTGTAAAACAAGCCACCCCCCCCGGTGTTAACCATCGGGATTGGGTTTCGTCGTTTGGCGACGACGTTGTAAAACAATCCAATTCACTTCGTGAACTCGGCAACCAGGTTACCGGGGTTCTTTACCTTCGGTTTATTTTTTGGCGGTAACCATAATGGTGGTCGAGTAGATCATGTTGTGCGGGGTGGAGAACCCTCACTCCGCGCAAGGGGGATGATCGCACCACGTTGTGTTAAAATGGTCAAGCACCCTCGAGGCAGTTACACAGTGCTTACAACTGTCTC